TACCCCAAAGGGATAAGACTTGTAAGTTACTTTCAGCTGAAATTCATGTTGTGTGTAACACAATGAGCAGTTTACCAGCCTGCAAACAAATGCCCACACAGGCCATACTTTTGCACTTACAAGCATAAATACCAGTATGTAACGCACACCAGAAAACAAAATGCTCGTCTTTTGTCAGCAGGGTGTTGCTGTCCGAGAATAAAATGTCCCACTGGAAATGCAAACCAAACGTGGGCCGGGAATGTTGTTGACATTACTATGAAGTCATTGGGTTAGGATGCATTGGGTTTTTTGATTTCAGTCCTGACTAGATCCTGTTTCGTCCAGTTGCTGGATTTGGAGATGCCCATTAAATGTGGTGGCATAAACACCACAGTGGATTGTATATTTCTGCATCAGACCTCATGTCACCACAAGAGCATCTTGGCTCTTGGGTGTTCTTATGGTCTGTGTGTGTGGAAATCATCTGTTCTGGTTTTCTGTTTTCATGTTGCATCATGCCAATTAATTAAATTTTGAGAACTATATTGTGTGCATGTCCAGTAGTATAAGTCGTAGATATAATTGTCTAACTCTATTTGGTGGTTCAAGAGAGCTTGTGTGAAACTGGAATTGAGGCCACTCTAAACAATTCGTTTAAAAAAATCTTGTTCTTCGTTATGGCATGATTTTTTCACTTAATAGGATTAGACCACTGTTGGCTGACCTTTTTAAGCAGACACTTTCCAGATTTGCTGGAAATAATATTGAACAGATGTAGATGCCTTACTGCATGAACTCACTTACACAGTAACTGTAAAATCCCAGGTCCAATTAGCAGCTCCCAGTAGATCCACAGATACTCAAGTAAGAATATCATCATGTGGTGTGATTCTTATCATTCTGCAAGTAGTATAAATACATGAAACTCAAAACCTACTCTAAAAAACTAGATGCTCCTTAGCCTTATAGTTGTGCATGTTTTTCTATTTTTCTTAGACAGTGTCAGGAGACATGTTTCAAAATGGCAGAAACAAGGACTTTCATAATGAAGCTGACCATCAGCACATTTCTTCAGGTTTTTTTTTACCACAAGGGGGCAGCACACACCATTAAGGTCTGTGTCTTCACACAAGTGGTTATGTAATTGATGTCCTAGGTATGACTTCTAAAGTCAGAGTACCTAGACTACTATTTCCTTTTTTCCTAAAATAAGTAATTTACTTAGCTTATAGTTTGCCATTTCAGACTGTTGTCTATTTTCTTTTCTTTTTTTTCCATTGGACGTCTGACATTTTGTAAGGTGATAAAAAAATATATATATATATATATATATATATATATATAAATATATATTTGTAAGGTGATCTGAAAAATTGGCTGATTCAGTCTGAAACTTAACCAAATGTAATTAGATCAGTGGCTCTGTCAGCTGTTGTTACTGTTCAGTCAATGGAAAAGTCAAAGCACAGCACAGGCTATAAAACAGCAGACCTTGGAACTGTCTTTTCTCTCTTTGTCTGAATGGTGTGATGAGTGTCCAGCATTCACCATCATTCTGACTCATTTACACTATTGCCCTGTGCACAAGTGTGTGGTCTGGTATAGTTTATGTTAACCAATTATTGACTGCTGTTAGTGTAGTTTCATCATGAGATGTCTAGGCGGGTGAACCATATGTGGTGTATATGAGTAACAAACAAAATCTGTATAATACATGTTTTCTCGTATTTCAGTATGTAAAATGTAACATTTAGAATGCCTCAATATATACTAATTTACAACTTTTCAAAAGTTTGGGTTTTTTGAAAGAAGTCTCTTATCGTCACCAAGTCTGCATTTATTTGTTTGTCATATTGTGAAATACTACTACAATTTAAGTTATATATCATTTTTTTCCTGTGATGAAAACGTATTCATGTCATGGTAAAGCTGGATTTTTGATATCACCACTGATTCAGTCTTCAGTGGCACATGACATGGTCCTTTAGAAATAAGAAATAATTCTAATTTGCTGATTTGCTGCTCAAGAAATGTTTATTATTATTATCAATGCAAACAGTTGTGCTGCTTATTTTTGTGGAAACGGTTATACATTTTGATGATCCTTTGATGAATAGAAAGTTCAAAAGTACAGCATTTACTTGAAATAGACTTTTTTAATGCACTTTTGATCTATTTAATGCATCCTAGTTGAATAAAAGTATTCTCTTAAAAAACGTACTCACCCCAAACTTTTAACCGGTATAGTGTGTGTGCTATATACGTTTACTTTCTCCATAATCTGTTAGCTCAAAAAATAATCTTAACTTCAGAAGAATGAAGTAAATTTTAGTAAGGACGTTGAAGTGTGTGCAATAGTTTTGAAGCATTTGTTTGGGACAGAGCTTCTCTTTTGAACCTGTGTATTCCTGTTTTAGTTTTTTCCTTTTCCCTTTTCCCTTTTTCTCCTTGTCCATTTCTTATATGCTCACACACATACACATGCACACAGAGATTGTTAGATTAAAACCTGTCTGTCAAGGGGGTCAGATGTGATTATTTTTCTATTCATACTTGTACTAGAACATATTGTTGTATTATAACCCAACACTTTGATGTTTTTTGTGTTATCTGAACTAGTGCCTAGCCATATTTTCTTTTATGACTTGGCAGAAGACTGTTTCACTAGATTCAAAATCAATAAAGCAATTATTTTTAAGCGAGAGGAGGTTAGGATAAAGAACGCATGTGGGAATGAGAGAAAGTAATGCAGAATGTCATATTTTGCAGCATGTGTGAAAGTACAGACCTTTTTCATTGTGAAATAATACTTGGACAATCATCATTTGGAGCTGTTGTCTGATGTCTGACATAGGTTATGTCACGTCTCAAAATGTATTAGGAGAAATTCTGTACATCCACAAACACAAATGTTCATACAACCTTTAAACTGCTTTCTGTAATAGTCTCATAGTTTATTAATCATATTTGGATTCAGGATAAAAAAATCTTCCTGTAGATTTATTTCTCGGCACCTCCCAACCTAGGAACAAATGCTTCCCTCGCGGGTCAAAATGACCCGAAGCCTTAAAATTTTACTAGTTAATTGTTTTTGTCCAGGCAGCTTAAATCAGTTAATTTTGATTACATTTTCTTTTTTTAATGCAATTTTTGAGAGATGTTTTGTTATTTATTATTTTATTTACCTCTAAATTACTAGACGTTTACCAATAATTTTAACATAGGCACATTCTTCACACTCTTTACTTAAATACAAAATTACACTGCAGTGCATGCGAAGACCAGTTAAAACATCATGATCATGCATTTGGTGTCTCTGCTGACGTCTTATGGGGGAAAAAATATATATAATATGGTATTTCACGACTATTATCACAAGATGGTCTTATATAGCTCTATATGGAGCAAATGAACTGATTGGGAAATACATTCCCATTTGAAGTCAGTTTGCTGCTTTATGCATTCAGGTACATATTTAGACATACATTTTTTTTTTTTTTTGCATTTGTAGTGTTTATTTTGAGCATTTTAGGTTTTGTATTTATGATGAAGTGTCATATTTTGCACTAATTCAAGTTAGTAAAGAGGACAGCAGGAAAAATATTAGTAAAACCTTGAAGCATATTTATTTGAATATGCTGATTTGTAGTCAGAATAATAAAAAAAAGCTGCCTGTTACAGTTCCAAAAATACTGTTCTATTTTCCCCATTAATTTAGCCGTTTTGTGGGGATGGGGGAGGGGGTTGTTCTGCATTCTAAATGTGTTCAAATGTAACCTCTTCATATCTGTGTGCGGTCTGCATTTTGACTGATTGATTTTAATTTGAAATGGTCTAGAAAATCTCCAGTCCACAGAGTCAAACTAGCTACTGTATCAACATGTAACTCACTTAGTTCAATATAGATAAAGCAATATATATATATATATAAAACAACAAAAAAGTATTTTCTCTTTATCTGTATACTTCACCGTAGTGTCTTGTTCATGGTTATCCTCATTTTTATAGCTTACCATAAGCCTTATGGTAACAGAATGAGACTGAGAAGTAGGAAATGGGCTTCCATACGAACCATTGTTTTCTCATATTTAACTCAAAGGGTTTTGAAGGTCTTGACATTGATCAAAAACCTATCTCCACTGTGCAGCATGCCTGTTTGTCTCTCTCTATGCATGCACAAGTGTGAGTTTGTTTGAGACATTGAGGACATGTGTTTGTGTGGTAGTCTCCACAAAAAAAGTCTTTCGAGGAATGTGTATCAATCAAATTCAGTTGAAAATTGCAATTTCCTACAGTAACTGTTTTTGTGTGCATGTCTGTCTCAGTGTGTAGTCTACTAGAGTTAACACACATCATGCTGGCTGCTATTTCTAGAGAGGAGGCACGCGACCCTGGAGACCGGTTTAGCTCCCCACTGTCAATCACACAGGTGACATGCGAAGACCTCAGAGAACATGTGCACCGCATGCCAGAGAAATGGAAAAATAAACAGATATATTCAGCCAGCTGTTAGCAGAACACTGGCCCCTCCTGACCCACCACATTTGAGCTCCTCTGCACTTGTGAAGTTTATTGTGTGTCCTTTGCCTGATCGTAGTGTGCAGATTCTTTTTTAGTAGTAAGGCTTGGTGTGCATAATAGTAGCCATGAGATTTCAAAGAAAGTAACAATGAGATAAAGATAGAGGTGATGACAGGGCCCAGCCTGAGTGACAATGAATAGTTCCAGTGCAGTTGGCATTCAAGACACATTTATCACATTTTTAGACAGGAGTGTAGGTTCTGAAGTCTTTCTGAAGACTTTGACTTGAACATCATATGTCATTACAAAACTATAGGACAAAAAAAGTCATGGCCACACTATAGGACTGAGTATCGGTATCAGATTTCCTGATTAGAATGTGATTCACAAGCTCTCGATTTGGTTCAATTCCCAATAAACCATAATGATATAATGCTGGAAACACCTTAGAAACCTAAGGCCCATTCTCAATCTCCTTGTCTTTCTGTCTTACCCAGGTGGCTAGATGTAGGCATAGCCCACCTGAGCAGCGCCCCATGCTGGGTGATCTACCTGCGGGTTCTCCAGGATGCAGTGTGGCCCGGGGGTGAGCTGCTTGCGGTGCCACGACCAGAGAGAAGCCCAGAGCAGAGAGAGAAGACCAGACTCCAGTGCCTGCACTGCCTTATGCAGCTGTTCCCAGGTCAGTTCATGCCACAACATTAGAGCAGCTTCAACATTAATGAGCAGGATCTTCTTCATTCCAATTAAGACACAGTTATCACGTTGTGTCTACTATTGTAACTGGTTCACCTAAAACGTTTGAAGTTCATGTGGCGTGTGTTTTCATATTAATGTGGAACTCAAACACATTTTCATTGCAAGCAGCACATACTGACATACAAAATTGTTTTTTGTGTGAATTGTAGAGTTAATTACAGACATGCTTGGCTCAGGGAAATTCAGGCTAGTGTGGGAGCATGTGCTGGAATCTCTACAGGACCCCACTATCAACAGGTATTATAATCTTTAAAAATGTACAATATCAGAGTAAATTAACAACAACAGATAATCCTCAATGACCTTCCTTTTTAAGAATCTGTTGCGTATATGAACTATAACCTAAATAGGCTAGAAGTAAATGCCTATTAACAATTAAAACTTGTTTCTATATGGGGTGTGTGCAGGCACTTGGTTTACTGTGTTTTTGACCTGCTGCTGGAGTTCCTTGTTCCAGAATTTTCTGAGGAGACGTTCCAGAGGTCTTTACTTCAGAGTCTCCCTGGGGATGTAGAGAGAACACCTTCATCCTCATAAGGACACCGTTTCTTTTCTTCCATCTTTCTGAATGCTGATGACAATTGGATGTGTTTTTATCAGTTTGGCAGGCTTTGTAGACAGCTGCTTTTGCTTTTGACTCACTAACTCGCAGTACATTTCAGATGGGTTTGGCATAGTAGTTCAAAATAATATGAATTTAAGATGTTTGCCCCATTCTGAACTTAAAGGTGCAATGTGTAAAAAAATTGAGTATCTATTATAAGAAATGCAATATGACATCCATAACTATGTGTTCAGTGGTGTATAAAGAACTTACTTAATAAACCGTAATATTTTTATTACCTTAGAATGAGACATTTATATCTACATAACCGCGGGCACCCCCTTCTATGAAGGTCGACATATTGTGACGTCATGTTTCTACCGTAGCCGAACGCGAACAAACAGAGCGCGTTTCGTCACTACCTTGAAAGAGAAGCCGCAGAAACCTAGAAGCTAGCCATAAACACCGTGAGTAGTGACTTTAACTTTTACAGTCAGTGGTGTAAAATGTGTAGTTGGACTGTTTCATGTAACTTTAACTTAGTTCTTTTCCCTCGCTGTGTTATGCCTTTGCTATGTGGGGATAAATGTGCTGGTTACGTTCGTGAGACAGCTGATTAGTACTCTTGTCATTGACCGTAAAACACTATGTTACAGCCTACAGGGATCACTAACCTTTTACTACCCTGTTAGAAAAAATATATAGTTGCATAGTTTCATGTGGTTCTTCTCGCTCGCTGTATTATTGGTTTGCTATGTGGGGAGAAATGTGCTGGTTACGTTTGTGAGACAATCAGCTGATTACTATTATTATATTATATATTAAGACCCTTGATCCTCACCTGACTATGGCTTTGTAAACTTTATCCATGATGTGGTTTTGGACTGTGGTACAGAAACAGTGACAATGTTACTCACTCTTGGCTTACTCTGGCTACTCTCTGCTGTCTCAGACGACGATATGTTTGTCCCGTTTTAGCCACCGTAGCTTCTTCGGAAGGGAGGGGTGAGCAGTGGGCTGAGCCCTTAGTGCAAACTCGCAACCGAACCGCTAGATGTCGCTAAAAATCACACACTGCACCTTTAAACCTACTCATGTTGCTGTGGCGCTTGAATATCTCGTGTAATTTTAATTTGTTTATTCAAACTAAATCTAAAGCCACCTTCATTTCTCATCATAGTCCTGGCAGGCCACTCAGATGGACTCTTGAATGTAATTGAAATGTAACCTTTTATAATACAGTATGTAAATAGGGAAAAGAAACTAATATATATATATATATATATATATATACACTTTCAGGGTTCGTACAGATACTGTAAAATAAAATTCCAGGACTTTCAAGGACTTTAAGCACTCCTTTTTTAGTTTTCAAGGACTACAATAAGAGACGAACTGTCTTATCAAACAAAATCTTTAGTATTTTTTAAACTCAAATTACAGATATAAGGTATCCAAAATACAACTTACAACGTATTTAATAATTAAATACAAAGTTTATAATGGCTAGTATTGTTCAATAAATAATATTTTATAATGTTGGCGAGCTACGTATATTTTTTTGGAAAAAATGAAACGTCATATATATAGTATTTAAATTCAAGCACTTTTCAAGTACCTCTTCGTAAATATGGCTGGTTTCAAGGGTTTTCCAGGACTTGCATTTCAAAAAGTCAAATTCAAGTAGGCTATTTCAAGCACCCAAACCAGTTTTATTTAATTATTTAAATAAATGGTGTTATGTATATATTATCTTATAAAATTGTTTAGTTAAGTTTTATTACTTTACAACATAATAAAATACACAAAAGAAAAAGTAAATGCATCTTCTTATGTTCTGTTTTTAATCTTTTGCATTCTTTCTCTGAACCTTTTCCTAACCAATGCGTACTCATATTGCATCTTTGAGCATAATTGTTTTATTTATATTACAGCAGATACACATCAGCACACATTTTCAAGTATTTCGTGTCTGAGAAACAGACAATTCAAATTAGCATTTGTCAAATATAAGATCTTTCATTGCTGGGAATAGACCTGTTTTTAAATTGTTTAATTTGTAGTTGCTGCTCTGTGCGGTTTGTAGACAAAACATGAAGAGGGGTCAGTCAAAATCCCTTCTTGGCAAACTGGTTGTTTGGATATGATTGTCCTCCCTGTGACTCTTTGAAATGAACAAACAGCGGATGTAAAGTGTTGGAATGTCTAAAGGTATTAAAGCATATAGAATACAATAATATTTTGGTTTGGCTATTTTAAGGTGTCCTTGTTACAGTGTATATAAACATTTTAGTACGGAGTAATATAAATTACATGCACTTACTGGTACTATTAGGGTTAGGATTAGGTTTGGGTCAGGATTAGTTGCATGTAATTATGCACAATTTATACACTGTAAACCCTAATGCTCAAAATAATTAATTGGTTTGAGTAGGACAAACTTAAATCAAACAAATTAGTTCAGTCAAATTAACTTTTATGAGTATTTAGCACTTTCTTTTTCTTTCAAGTTCACTGAACTGATATATTTTAAGTAAACTGAACTGTTTCATTGTTTTGAGTTTTATGCAATTATTTATTTTAATTTAGACGAACTTAAGTTTAACTGAAACAGCTGTGATGTCTATTTCCCAGCATGCTTTGCCGATGGCACTCGAAAGGGAGAGTAAATGCTAAAATTAAGTGTAATATAATGTTTTTTTTGTGTGAAAGATTAATGTTATGTGTGAGATTTAGTAGTGATTCATGTTTTGTTATGCTAATTTAGAAGAATTTCTGTTAATGTTGGCTTTAGGATAGTTACCATCATGGTGACAAGTGGTGCATGCAGCTTGATTTGAGAGCAAATATCCAATTATATTGCTGCGCTCATACAGCAAGTGTTTCTGTATAACATACTATTGCTAATATGTTAGCATTTACTATGTTAGCAGATTAGCTTTTTAAAGCTTACTAAGTTTATACTAATAAAAGTATTTTGAGTTCTGCCAACTTATTTGGATTTACAGTGTACTTCATAGATTTAAGTTATTTTAACTGAATGGAATTAGTACTATTAACTTTATTTACCCAAGTTATCTTAACAATAAGTTATTGAGTTACTTGAACACAAATCAAATATTTTTTTAAGCTTAAATTGTTTGAGTTAATAAACTTAAATGATTTAAGGCAATCGGTTTCCTCAAACGGTTTGAGTTGAACTAACTCATCAGGTTTTACAGTGTAGTAATTACCATAGAAACTACATGTAACGTGTAACAAGGACACCATAAATAAAAAGTGTTACCAATATTTTTTCCAATACACTGCCGTTCAAAAGTTTGAGGTCGGTATGATTTAAAAAAAAAAAAAAAAATCGTAATTGTAAATAAAACTTTTAATCAGCAAGGATGAAATGACAGACATTTACAATGTTACAAACGATGTTCTTATCATATTACTAAAAAAACAAATAAAAAAAATAGCATCTCTGTTTCCACAAAAATATTGAACATCATAACCATTTTTACCATTGATAATAGTAAGAAATGTTTCTTGAGCACCAAATCAGCTTATTTGAATGATTCCTGAAGGATCATGTGACAATTCAGCTTTGCCATCATTGAAATAAATTATATAAAATAGAAAACGGTTATTTTTAAATTGTAATAATATTTCACAGTTTGACTTTTTTTTACTGTTTTTGATCAAACACATACAGCCTTGTTGAGAATAAGAGACCGCTTTCAAAAACGTAACAAAATTTACTGACCCCAAACTGCTGAATGGTATAGGGTTTATGTTTTTAGTTTTGTTTATTGTTCCATTAAAAGTAACAAAGATTATTTACAATATCTATATTGATCTTAGTCAGGTAATGTATTTATCACTCTGATGTAGTCTTTGTAAACAGTGTTGATCTTAATCTTGCTGGGCTCTGTTTACTTTCAGATTACAGTAGGTTAGTCAATTGACTACAAATTCAAACACAGAAGTATAATGCTTTCAACACTCTTTTAAAACAAAAAAGACAGAACTAAACAGTGGACAACACAAGAATTCAAACAATTGTCTGGAAGATAAACTGTTATTTGTATGTATTCCTTGTATTTGCTCATATTTGTGGACAAACGCATCTTACCGAGCTATGGACTCTAGGCTTTGCAGATACATTAAAAAGACATAATGTACAATGGCATGTTATGTATCAATATTCATGGTTAATTATTGTGTCTCAGCATATAAGCGATAAACTTTGAAACAAATGTGTTGCAGTTCTGTAGTAAAAAATGGAGGCCATATAAATTTCTACTGACATATAACTCTTACTGACATTGTTATTGTTTGTGGATCTGCATTTATCTTTTTGACAGATACTTCATTACCAAAACAATGTGAGGAGCATCTACCAGAGCAGGTTGTTGAGAAAAACGTTCAATTCTGCAAGGAATGTTTTTTTTAATTCATATTTTTCATGTTACTGTAGATTATAAACATTGTAGTGAATCAAGCATTCGTGATGCATGCGTTCATGTGGCATTTGTTTACTTTTGATTTTAGATTTAACTTTTTTTTCTCCATTCTGTCACCCGATGGAGTTTGGGTTCCTTGCCACTGTAGCCTCTGGCTTGCTTAGTTGCAAACACTTAATATTCAACAATATTATTGATCTGACTGAACTGAAGCGGTTGTATAAGAACTGAACTGAGCTGGACGATGGCATCACTGTTTCCTACAGAGCTGATTTATAGTCGAATTTAACTAATTTTAATAATTGATGATCTTTATAATGGAACTGAATCAACACTGAACTGACTTCAGCTAAACAATGACATTTTCTTCTTTTTAAAGCTGCTTTACAGCCGAATTGATCTCTGTTTGAATCATTGAATCATTATTTTCATGTTGTTCACTGTAAAGCTGCTTTGAAACAATCTGTAGGCCTATTGTTATAAAGCGCTATAAAAATAAAGGTGACTTGATTTGACTTATCTTTATTTATACTATTTAATTTACATTTCAGTTTAAATATCCATCCACGGAAAAAATAGGATGAAATCAGGTTGTTTGGGACAATTTTCG